AGACAATTAACACTCAATCATATAAATCCCACTTGAATTAATACTTAAACTTCATCCTAAAGCTACCGGAATTATCCCCCAAATTTTCTATCAAATTTGGACAGCACAGCCAACAAACTACATGGATAATTTCAAGCTTAAACGGCTGTCACATACCATAATTCTCCAGCTAAAACCAGAGCTGCAGATAGGGGGAAGGCCGGCGGCATGGAAGAAGAAAGCTCACGGGCTCACGGGAAATCTATCAAAATTCTGGAGAAACAACATATTTAACATGAACCCAAGCTAATTTAAGGCTAAAACAAAGGGATTTAATGGCTGTTTCTTACCCAAAACCCAAGCAATTTGCCCCCACAACAAGAGCAGTCGGTGGACAGAGCAAAGCAGATCCGGATTTTTCGGCAGGGGGGGAATTTCTGGGTTCAATTTGTGTTCTAGAGCAAGAAAAGAAGGAGAACCCCAAGCTTTGCCGGTGTTCCCGGCCCGAAATGGGTGGCGGTGGCCGGGGAGCTTCGGTCGGTTGCAGGGGATGGAACAGAGCAGAATTGGGATTTTCTGGGTTGAGAGGGAAGATTCTAAGCCCCAAATCTTGTGATTTAACAAGAAAAGAAGAAGAAATTCATCAAGATCTCACCGGGTTTTTCAAGGGGGAGAAAGTCGGTGGCTTGGAAGGGGCTTGTCGGGAGGGAGAAGATAAGCATAAGCAGAAACACGCGGTTGATGAGGAAGAAAAGAAGGAAAAAAGAAAAGAAAAAGCAGTTCATCCTTATCCTAATTTTTTTTCTTTTTAAGTCCCTCAACTTTTAAAAATTTGACTATTAAGCCCCAAAACAATATTTTTCCTCAAATAAGCCCCTTACTTAATGCTAAAATATCACCAAATTTTGGGGTATTACAGATTTAGTGGAGAATGGCTTCAATCCTCTTCATCTTCCTGACAATCTTATTGTTGCTCAATTGAGGAATCATTCAAAGTATGTAGAAAAGGCTTACAAGGCACTTTCACACATCCATAGTGGTGTTGTAGATTCACTTTTTCCAAGGATCATAGGTGCAAAAACAACAAATGAAACATGGGATACTCTGAAAAAAGAGTTCGAAGGTGATACAAGAGTGAAAGGTAACAATGTTATCATACTTAAGAGGCAAGTTGAGATGCTGAGAATGTTAAAAGATGAAACTATTCACCAATATTCAACCAAGCTAACAAACTTGGTGAAGTAAAATTAGGGCAAATGGTGGTGAGTTTCTAAACAAGAAGGTTGTTAAGAAGATCATGATAAGTGTTTCAGACAAGTTTGAGTCCAAGATTTTAGCCATAGAAGAAACTTGTGACTTGGATACAATGATTGTTCATGAGCTCATCAGCAAGTAGAAGCTTATGAACAAATATTAACTCTGAAAGGTCAAGTTGTTGCAATCGAAGGTGCTTTCGAAGCAAGACAAAAAGAAAGGCAAGTAACTATAAGTTCAGATTCTAAGCCTCCTATGACAGCTTTGACAAAGGGAATATGGTTGAAACGTAAACTCAACCAGCTCAACAAACTGAGAAGGATAGTTTTCACCATGCTCATATTGTAAAAGAACTAATCATAAGGCAAAAAATTGCCAATATAAGGGGAAGCAACAAGTGCAATTCCATGTATGAAAAAAGTTTGGTCATAAAGATAAGTCTTACCAGGCAAAAAAGGACTAGTATAGACCAAAACAATCACAAAAGCAAACTACTTAGATGATCAACAAGGTGAAGATCACTTGTTCTTAGCTATTCAAGGGAGCTCTACCTCCTAAAAAGATTCCTAGTTTGTGGACAGTGGTTGTATTAGTCATATAGCCAAAAATGAAGATTACTTCATAGAGATGGACAAGTCTATGAAGATAAAAGTCAAGTTGGGCAATGGTTCAATGGTGCATGCATAAGGGAAAGGAAGAATTGCTACACAAGCTTTTTCAGGTACAAAACTAATTTCAGATGTTCTTCATGTTCCTTCCTTGAGTCAAAATTTATTGTCAGTAACTCAAGTGATGAAAAAAGGACATTGTCTGCAATTCAAACATGATACCTACACTATATATGACTTTCATGGTTCTAAAGTCATTAGAATCAAAATGATTGACAATAGCTTTCTTGTGAATTGGAATTTAATTCAGTCTTGCTCATATGCTGTTAAATGTGATGATACATAGTTATGGCACAAGAGGTATGGTCATTTCAATCTAAAATCTCTTAAATTCTTGCAAACAAATGAATTAGTTAAAGATTTGAACAGCATCAGTTTGAGTGATTTTGTGTGTGAAGCCTGTCAACTTGGAAAGCTACATAAACAAGCTTCTCCAATTAATTAAGCATGGAGGGCCACTGAAAAGCTTGAACTCGTTCATACTAACATCTATGGACCTATGAAGATAGAGTCACTCAGCAACAACAAGTATTTCATTCTATTTATTGATGATTTTATGTGGATGACTTGGGAGTATTTTTTGAGCAACAAAAATAAAGTTTTCTCAATGTTCAAGAAGTTTAAAGCCTTAGTTGAAAACCATAGTTGCTACAAAATCAAGACCTTAAGGTCTGATAATGCCAAGGAGTATGCCTCTTCTAAATTTAACAACTTTTGTAAAGATGCTAGCATTGAGCACCAATTGACAGTTCCTTATTCACCTTAACAAAATGGTGTCTCCAAGAGGAAGAATAAGACTGTATTGGAGATGGAAAGGTACATGTTGCATGAAAGAATGTTGCCTAAATCATTTTGGGCTAAGGTTGTTTACACAGTTATTTATTTGCTGAATTCTCTTCCTACAAAGGCTCTAAAAGGGAAAACTCCTGAAAAAGCATGGTATGGCATCAAACCTTTTGCTAACCATCTTAAAGTGTTTGGTTCAACATGTTACACTCATTTTCCAGATGCAAAAAGAACCAAGCTAAACCAAAAAGCAAATGTTGGCATCTTTGTAGGCTAGGCAACTCAATCCAAGGGTTATAGAGTGTATAATGTGCACTCTAAGAAGGTGAATGTTTACAAGGACATTAAATTTAATAAAGACCCCTACTAGAACTTTAAGCAGCAAAAAGTTAAAAACATGGTTCTATTTTGAAGAAAAATGACGTTAATGCAACCAGAACTACTAATTCAAATTCAAATGGTAGGATTGTTAATACTAATGATGATTTTCTTGTCTTGAAACAAAGTCCATTGAGAAAATTTATGAGCAATGCAGTTTTGCAGCAAATGAGCCATCAAATTATGCAAAAGCTTCCAAGCATGAAGAATGGAGAAATGCAATGCAGGAAGAGCTTACTACAATTGAAAAGAATGGTACTTGGTCACTTAATCCTAGGCCCAAAGACAAAAATGTTATAAGAGTTAAGTGGGTGTAGACACAAAACAATTATTGGCCAATTAAAAAATGCCTCGTGTTAATTTAGGTCTTGAAAAATAATATTATTTTTTACCTATTAAAATTATTTTGATGATATCTATAGACTAATCACAAAATGACTTGTACCCCAATCACAATTCAAGATACGTAAAGGAAAGTCTTGTTCTTCCAGAAAGGATATATTAAAAAAATATTTATTAAATTAAAATATTTATTATGCTGCCCAATAGGACTAAAATATTTCTATTACTTGTCAAATAAAAATAAAATTTTTTATCCTAAATTACTAAGAAATAGTTGGTAGAGAAGTTCTAATCCTAAGAGAACTCCTCAATGTTCCTATCAATAGGATTAAAGTATTTTTATTACTGGTTAAATAAGAATAAAATTCTTATCCTAAATTGCTAAGGAAATAGTTGATAGAAAAGTTCTAATCCTAAAAGAAACCCTTAAAACTATGCCTATAAATAGGGTACCTCTCCAAGCCTTTTGACACACTTCAAAAGTAGAAAACCTTGAAATAAATTTCAAGGATTAAGCTTTTTAAAGATTTCTCATTAACGAGAAACAATTTGAAAACCCTGTTACAAGTGATTTGAAGACTCTATTATGAGGGATTCAAAGACCCTATTACGAGGGATTTGAAGACCTTGTTAATAGGGATTTCAAAGAACCCTATTAAAGGGGAACTTGAAGAACAAAGATCGAAGAACGACAAACAAGTGAAACATGCAATATAAAAAGTGTTGATAACTTATTTTCCTATTAAAAAGGGCTTTAGTCTTATTTAATGAAGAAATCAAAGACTTTACGTATTTGAAAATAAGTCAATAAAGACCCTCGTATTAGAAGTCAAGATTGAAATATTTTGTTCAAAGAAAAGAATCAAAGGATTAAAGTTGTAAAGATAGTAACCCACAAACTTTTAACAAATTTGTAATTTGGCACATAAATGTTCAATAAAGAATTGTTATAATGCACAAATTTCTAGCACACCTAGTGGGACCACTATGCCTTTCATCTTTTTTCTTTGAAGAAGTTTCAAATTATTCTTGAAGAAACAAAAAGCTACCAAAGAAGGTTAAAAGCCATCTTTAATGAAGCAACAAAATGATTTGGTAGTGACCACTGGAGACATGTTGAAAGCCAAGAAGTGAACTATTATCTTCACAAATGAGCAAGTTAATTGCCAAGTGAAGAAGTTGTATATTCCAACCATATCACCATATGTGATGAAATCGTAGATGAGCTTAATGTTGAAAAGAATGTTGAAGAGGCCCCATCAACTTTTGAGGATGGAAATCAAGCTATAGTAGATGATTTGAAAGAAATTAATCTTGGAACTTTTGAATATCCTTGTCCAATATTTTTCAATGCAAATTTAACCTCAGAAGAAGAAAATGATTATGTTAAACTTGTACATGAATATCAAGATGTTTTTGCATTGACTTATAAAGAAATGTTTGGCTTAGATCCAAAGGTGGCTATTCATCACCTTGCAAGTAAGAAAGGTGTTAAACCAATAAAATAACCTCAATGTCATTTTTTACCTGAATTAATTCCACAAATTGAGTTGAGATTAATAAGTTATTACAAGTTGGTTTCATTCAAGAAGCAAAGTATCCTACTTGGATCTCAAATATTGTCTCAGTAAGGAAGAAAAATGGTCAACTTTGAATTTGTGTAGACTTTCGAGATCTTAACAATGCATGCCAAAAAATGATTTTCCTTTTCCTTTCACTATAATTATGGTAGATGCCACAAGTGGTCATGAAGTTTTATCATTTATGGATGGATCATCTGGATATAATCAAATTCAAATGGCATTAAAAGATGAAAAATATACTACCTTCGAACTCCAAAAGGTATATATTGCTACACAATCATGCCTTTTGGACTTAAGAATGTTGGTGCAACTTATCAATGTGCAATGCCAAAAGATATTTGATGACATCCTCCATAACATTGTTAGAGTGTTATGTCAATGATTTAGTGGTGAAATCAAAAAAGAAAGGTGATCATCTAAATGATCTTCGAAAAGTATTTGAAAGGCTAAGACGTTTTCAATTAAAAATGAACCCATTGAAATGTGCATTTGGTGTTCAATCTAGGGAAATTCTTAGGCTTCATTGTAAAGCATTGTGGAATCGAAATTGATCAATCCAAGATTAATGGTATCTTCAAAATGCCTGAGCGAAGAAATTTGAATGAACTTAAAAGTTTATAAGGTCAATTAGCTTACATTCGAAGGTTCATTTTGAACTTGGTTGGACAATGCCAACCTTTCAATCACTTGATGAAAAAGAATTCACCATTTGAATAGGATGAAGCATGCATAAATGCTTTCAAAAGCATTAAAGCTTATTTGTTAAGGCCATCAA